AAAGCAAGTGTGCCACGGTTTTTATACTTAAATACTGACAAATAGGTAACTACTAATTAAAGTTCTCTGGGAGGGCTATGATGATTTATATTAGGCGGTAATAAGGTTACCACCCTAGACATTAAATTAATTTCGTGAGGGAGGGAGGGAAGAGATGAGTATTATAAAACCTTTAACGCAATATGCCCGGTTTGAGATGATTTTACCAAAACATAAATGTTTTATGTTTTGGTAAAACCATTGGAATAATTTCTGCCTGTTAATTGCATTTCTGATTACTTCTTTTAATAAATGTCTGTTAAGCGTTATAAAATTTTCCTCTGGATGGCAGATGTATTACGTAACTGAAACCACCATATCTGAATTTTACCGTACGCTGCTAAAGTAGTATGGAATAAATTCAGTAAAAACGAAACAATTTTTTTTGAGAAAAATCCTCGAACAGGTCGATTTTCAACCGTCATTTGTTTTCGAGTAATGACGTCATCGACATTTTTTTAAATAGCAACCCCCTATTTTTTTTTCTTGATTCTGAAAGATCATTTCATTGTCGATCCGACAGTATTGAAATGTTGCCATCTTACATCGGAAAGTTTTCGAGTAAATGACGATTGAATGTTAGAAAACTCAAATCAATTAAAATAAAACAAAAACGTTATTAAATTTGGTTTTTCGAAATGCCTGATGTTTTTTATGGATCACGTAGGTGTAAATCTTTACAAAGTGTCACTGTCATACCGACTTTCTAAGTATTGTAAGCGATATAAAAAATTATTATTGAATTTAAAGTATTTTGGCACATTTAACTGTCACACAAAGAATTGAAATTTTAATTCTTATCGGATGCGGGGATAAGACTAGAACGCAGCAGGAAGTTTGCGATTTATTTAATGAAAAACAACCAGATCGCCGTATCAGCCAATCAACAGTCAGTAAGATAGAATCTAAATTTAGAGAAACTGGCAATGTTGTAGATATTCCAAAACCTGGACGTCCAAGCGTTAGTGAAGATCACAAACAGAACATTTTGATAAGTATGGTAGATAATCCTCATAATACTTCACGATTGGTTGCATTAAACAATGAAATTAGTCAGACCACAGTGCTACGTATCCTGAGGAAGGAAAAATATCATCCCTACAAAATTCAACTTGTGCAGGAACTCAATGAAGACGATCCCGACCGCCGCTTACACTTTTGTGAAATTATGATGGATTTATGTCAAGTAAATAGAGATTTACACCGGCAAATACTTTTTTCAGACGAGGCCACGTTTTGTCTCAATGGTACAGTGAACCGTCAAACTTGCAGGTATTGGAGTCGGGAAAATCCTCATTGGATGGCAGAGACACATACCCAACACCCACAGAAATTAAATGTGTGGGCTGGAATAGTTGACAACAGAATAGTAGGGCCTTTCTTCTTTGAAGGAACCCTTACAGGAGAAAGATATTTAGAGTTTTTACAAAATGACCTTGTTCCAGCGCTTGCAGTAATTTTTCCTAACGATAATGACCCTGATATTCCTGGTGACACCATATGGTTTCAGCAAGACGGTGCACCTCCGCACTATGCGCGCCCTGTTCGGGATTTTCTGGACAATTGTTTTCCTAGGAGGTGGATCGACAGACGAGTACCGATAGAAAGGCCCGCGAGATCACCAGATCTTACACTCCTGGACTATTTCTTATGGGGCTACTTAAAGTCCAATGTGTACGTTAATAGACCACATAATTTAGAAGAACTCCAAAATTGTATTATATGTAGATGAAATACACAGAGTTACTCCAGAAATAATTCATAATGTGCGAGAAGAATTTCTACACAGACTTGCGTATTGTCAAGAAGTCGGTGGGTGGCAATTCGAACACTTAATTTAGGTAGAAAACTTAATGAATTGAATTTGCTTGACATAGGAATTGTTATTTTTTTAATGAAAAAAATTTACGTTTTCTAACATTCAATCGTCATTTACTTGAAAACTTTCCTATGTAAGGTGTCAACATTTTAATACTGTCGGATTGACAATGAAACGATCTCTCAAAATCAAGAAAAAAAAATAGGGGGGTTGCTATTTAAAAAAAAAATGTCGATGGCGTCATTACTCTAAATCATATGACGGTTGAAAATCGCCTTTTATGCTAAAATATGTATTTTTTAAATTAAAAATCGACCTGTTTGAGGATTTTTCCCAAAAAAAAAAATTCTTTCGTTTTTACTGAATTTATTCCATACTTTAGGCGCGTACGGGATTTAGTACAGAGAAAATGAAGTAACTTTTCAAACTGACCTAAAATCAACTTTATGTGTTTTGTTCTTTTCTAATTGTAAGAGATGAGATGATATATTTAGACTCTAAATATAAAATGCTCTAGTCTATACTCCGCGGTCGAAATTATAGAGAGTGATTCAGACATAATATAAAAACACTATTACCATAATGCGTATAAAATATAAAATGATTTTTATACGGTTCAATATTATTTATCTTTGTGCCGCTCGCTACGCACATCAATCGTCTATAATCGTCTATAGACTGAGTTACACTGAACGTCGATCTATATTCTATCTCTGTCTTTTGCACTTGGTAGGGAATAGGGAAATGCTTTTTTAGTGGGTGTAAACGGACTTGATTTACCAGTCCTGAGAAACGTCATAGCATAAGCGTAGACGAGGGGTCTAATTCCATGGCAATAATAAATTTATAAATTAAAAAACACAACTGGGACGTTTTAAAATGCTGTAATAATTAAAATGGATCAAAGTGCCGGTTATAGCAAACCGTAAAAAATATTAGATGTTATGTTTTATTAAATTTTTTCAATATTTTCTATATCTTGTTGCCTTTTACGCAGACACGCCAATGGATTTTCGTTCCCGGCACGCTTCATCCCCCTTACTACTCCAAAAGCTAGCGATGAGTCACTCTCTATAATTTCGACCGCGGAGTATAGTCTAGATGTTAATCCCGGACTTGCAACATAGGCGTCGGAACTTTTTGTGGGTGCCCAAAAAGACAAAAATAACATAAGTATAAGGTGACTTGAGTGATGAACACCTAATTATAATAGTGATTTTATTCACGAAAATAATGGTGCGAGTTTCTATGACACCGTTTCGAGAAGTCAATAATAAGTTACATATCCTCAGTTATTTTTTTTAAATTATAGCCATAACTTTTTTCACTTAACAGATTTTTAATTTGGTTACTATTATTGATAGCAAACTGCACCTATGAGACAAAAAAATTTGCCCCGAAGGGCGCAAATAGTCCTTATATTGTTTTTCAAAAATTACACATTAACTTTTATGTTAAGGAATTATTAAAGGATTGTACACAAAAATTTTCTTGTTCCAAGCCGACAGCGTTTCCAGAAAAAAAAGTATTTATATTGTTTAATCACCACGTTTTTCGTTCTTTCATAAAACATATCTGTCCAAAGACCTGGGGGAATCGGCGCCTATGGTCTACCATTACATATAATTATTACAAATAATAATAAATAATGCCAAATTCACGTACTGCTCCCAAGAACCGTTGTATTTTAATATCCACCGGGATCCACCGATACCCAGTTTGAGGCAAACAATAATATTAATTGTCATTACAGTCAGTGCACACGTTTCGCGATGATATCCGACGCGCCAGGTTCGAAGCGTCCGCAGATTCCGAGCGAATTGTCAATGTAATGCGATTACTCAAAGCCCCGCAGCTTTGACAATAACAATAGCCTGCAATATCTATTTTTCGTCCCACAAATCCCCCGTCGAGCCGAGCTTTGAGCTCGCGAAGCTCGAATTTTAGCGTCGCAGCGAGGAAAGTTCCCAACTGCGGATTTTAAGACTGGAAAACGAATACTGAATGTCGTTAAAACGTCATAATATAAGTTTAAACGAGGCCCACATTCTACGTAGTAATAGCAAGCCGCTCCCTCCATCGCGAGTTTTACTAATAGGGTTGTGCGGCGGCGTTTTAAAAATACAGGGTGAATCTTAAATGTGAACATATGCAGGGTATTTCTAAATAAGTGTTTCTTTGTAAAACGGTACCTAGGAAAATAAAATTGCTGCCACATTGTTAAAATTTACAAATAAAGTTGTAAAGTTATAAAATTCCTTATGACGGATTTGCAAGAAATTTGCAGCAGTTACAATGGTCACCCAACAACTTTCCAAGGAACTTCTAACACGGTATGTTGTATAAGTACTTGGATAGTAATAAGTAAAAAATTGAGCTACTTTTTGTTTTTTTTTAGTTTCAAAATTTAGAATAAGTAGGACGATGCAGAGGCGACCTCAGTTTCGCGTAATAATTCGTGATTAATTTTCCACTCAACTGTTTCTTTTATTTGAAAATCTTTTTATCTTGAAAATATGACACTTTGCAATACAGTTTGTTTAATAAAAATTATTTATTTTTCTGTCCCCCCTTTGAAGATATGTATGTATTTAATCCAGCAACATGTGTATTTTAATTGCAAGTCCAGTGATCCTTTTTCAAAATTATAAAAATTTACGTAGACATATTTTTTAATTGGTACATGTACATTTTGAGAACCACCATCCACATGGAAGGTAATCAAATACTAGGTACTGCTGGTAATCGAACTGATGTAGTTCGGATGGAGCGGCTCTTAACAGAGCCGTACTCAGCTCGCTTTCCCAGTAGTCATTTCAAGTCCTTTGCCAGACATCGTTCCTGCTATTCTGCATAAATCAAGGAGGCACAAATATTTTTATGAAAATATTTCAGTTTCAATGACGTATCCTCTAAAAAGATGCTTATTTATTTAATTAATATCAAACGTATAGTGTATAGTGCAAATGTTGTTTCATGCTGTGATGAATCATTTTTTGGCTGTTTTTTAATGAACATGCATTTGTCATATTCATAAAACGTATTTCTTTGTTATCTAATAATAATAATAATAATAATAATTATTATTATTATTATCTAGTGCCAGTATCAACGTTTTGAAATATACTTATTCTATTTTCAGTAGCCAGGAGGCGTCGCAAAGAAGGTAGACCTCGCAGACAGAGGACAACCTTCAGCAGCGAGCAAACCCTACGTTTGGAAATCGAATACCAGAGGTCTGAGTATATCAGCAGAGGAAGACGTTGCGAACTGGCCGAAGCTTTGAGACTTTCAGAGACCCAGATAAAGATCTGGTTCCAGAATCGCAGGGCCAAGGACAAAAGGATAGAGAAGGCTCATATAGACCACCATTACAGGTAAGAAGTAATTGAAAAATTAGTTGTTAAGTAAAGAAAGTGGATTGAACTATCTAACTACATTTATTGAGTACGTAACATAAAAACGGCCGCAGCAATGGTCCTTGGGGAGCACCCAATATTTTGTGCGTAACTAGCTTTGTAGTGGCGATCTTCGTATTGTATTTTTAATCAATAAGTAGGAATGAACTACACAATTTCATGTAAAAATATCCATTATAATACTCAAGTGGGGTTGATAATTGTGTGTAGTTTTATGTGGTAATGAAGTAAAGAATGTTTTCTTCAATTTATCAAGTAATAAAATTATCATTTCCATCTAACGGGCAACTTACCTACAGAACACCTGTCCGACGAGAATAATTTCACATTTAAACAGTTACTTACTAATCATATTGTTATTTTTATCCTCCCTTCCCATGCAAATAGGCCATAAAAGAGCCCACAGTTACTCCTTATCGACGTCACAATCTGTCAGTAATTAAGTGGTAAAAACGCAAATAAAACTAAGATCTCTTTAGGCGTAAATCGTGCGTGTGAAGAGGATTTGGCCGAGGTAATTTGACAATGCTAGGATTAGTAGGGCTTTGACAGGGCTACGTTTAGATTTCTGGATGATAGGAGATGCTACCCTTGTTTTTAAAGCTAGGGGTTGTTGAATCTTTGGAGTGAATAGCTGTAATTAGAGAGCTATAATATCCCTTAGATAAATTATATGCTATATCGCCGTACAGGGTGATGCGGCGGATCAATCCGTTACTGTGAATAAAACTGTAGAAAAAAAAGACTAAAAGGTACCTACCTATGTACATAAGATACACATTTGTAGACTTCTGAGGCTTTTGGTAACATTTGTTATTATCCTTATCCTTACGATTTTCAAATTTTAATATTTTTGTTTTTAAGGTATTTACATTCATGCGTTTTAATAATTTTATAGAGAAAAAGTAATTCTAGAAAAAATTGCATTTAAATTAAATCAAATTTAATACAGCCACTTACCTGATATAAAAATTGTTTGCTTCTATCATTTAACGACATTTTCTAAGCTTTCGAGATATCGCTGACAATTTATACACAAGCTCCTTTTTGGTATTTTTTTGTACGTAGGTCCCTCTGTAGGTTTTATCCTATCTAGTTCTGCTTTTACAGGAAGCTACTAGGAGCATTTCCCGGGAGCATCTGCCCTGTCTGCGTAGAGGGGCCTTGTTTTCACGTCCCAAGTCTGTTACAGCCACAACTTTCTTTGCCCCAACCCAGTACTTCCACTAGCCCCAGCTTTCAAGAAAGTAACAGCAACGATAACGACATTAACGTTGTTTAAATTGATGCTAAAATATTTTTACCAATACCAACATGTTTTGTATTTAAAATTCAGCATTATTACATAACTAATTATAGTTTAATTTATATAAAATATGTTTCTGTATATATGTAAAAACTTTAAGATAGCTAGGAAAAATGAATCAAAATTACTTATGAAAATTGATTTTCTCATATGTACAGGATGTTTCGAAAAAATGATACCATAGATTTAGGGTTTGTTATCACGATATTAAAAATTGACAAAAAATAAGACAATTTTTTCCTTTAAATTCTGTATCTCTTTACACAGTTTTGAGATACAAGAGGTTTTTTTAATGAAATTTTCAAAACAAAACAAAATTTTTGCGGCCATATTGGAAAATCGTCTTATTTTTTTTATGTTGTACCTACCTCTCGAATTTATGGCATCTTTTATCAAAACATTTTCTTTAATTTTAAGTTTTTATTCTAGTCGATATTTCGTAGGATTACGTATGTTTTTGTAAATACTAAAGTCAATAAAATCTATCACATTCAACTAATCTTTATTTTTACACTGTCATTTGTCTGCCAAATTTGGACTATCACATCTAGAAATCATAATTATGTTGTACGACTTCCAAAAATGAAGGATTATTTAGTTCCTTTCACTAAAAATTTAATTAAACAAATCTCAATTGATTTTTGGAAGTTTTCAAACATAAATTCAAGATTAAGGCTATTTCGAATGAGCTTGACAACATACCAGTTATTTTATTATATAGGGCGTTGCGGAAATGAGTACAAAAATGGTGATAGAATATCAAAAAGTAAGAAGACTTTTTCCTATGGACCATGCATGGTTCTATTATATGTTCATATTATATACAAATTATTATAATTTTTTACCTTTAGCAGAAAACTATTTTAGGGACGCCTATGAGTCATTAAGTTTTATTGCCAGGCGTTTTTTTACATGTTCAACTGACTTCGGAGACTATACAAGCAAGTTTTTGAGCGTGTTTCATACGTCCGTGTTGTTAATTTTTGAATGTCTGGTACGGGGTGCTGTTGCCCTTTCATTAAAATTTTATAACAGTTTTATACTGTATGTCCTAAATTGTAATGTAAAATTTCAATTTACACAAAAAAGTACTCGCTGAAAACGCACCGTTTTTGAAAAAAAAACTCAACCAACAGTCTCAAAGCCAACTAGCTTCTGTCCTTAATACATAGAATGTCCGCAAACGAAAGGGGGCCACTTTAGGGAATTTTTTTTTAGATAGAATTTAAATCTGATAAATTTACCTTGGTACAATTTTACTTTCAATTTACGGGTCAAAATATTAAATAAAATTTCTTTTCAAGGAAGCAAGATTGTACCAAATCGTTTTATTTTCATCCAAGGAAACTATCTTTGAAGTATTGCCCATTCGTTACTAGACACCCTGTACATTAAAAAATTAAAGAAGTCTCAAAACGGTGCGATTTCTATGATTTTAACAAGAGTACGTTTTTTATGTACAATGGATACATACTGTAAGGAATATAACCTCAAAAAAGTTATATAGTCTTTCCGAAGTCAGTTAACATGTATAAATACTCCTAGCAATAAAATTTAATGAGTTTCATAGGCGCCCCTAAAAAGTTTTCTGCTAAAGGTAAAAAATAGTAATTTGCACATAATGTGGAGAAAATTTCTATAATATGTTCATTGGGCCAACAACATATTTTAATTATTTATGTCCTCAAACAATTTTATTATATTGATGGTAAATTTTGATTATGACAAAAAACATTTACATGTTCATTAAAATATATACTGCTTGGCATTGCTGCACTGCACTGCTAGGTAATTTGTCGACAACTGAAATTTATGGCCGGTCGCCCAGTGCAGCTTTGTTTGTGCGCCGTTTGTCCGCAAGCGCATTCTTCAACTGGGCGTGTACATTTCTACCACCTCCACGTTTAGTTCGATCAGACCTGTATATAGGTATGGCTAAATAAATATGGGAACAAGTTTTTCAAATATTTCAATGCCGAGTTGCTACGTAGAGACCGAACCTGGTACATACTGCCTAGCCTTTGGTTTCCATCGGAAAGACTATAACAAGTTGGGTCAAAATAACTTATTCATGCACTTTTTTCTCTAAAATGCACCCTTGAGGAGCTATAGGCACTTTGAAACTTTGATAATGCTCAAAATTGGTTCAAAATGGCCACAAGTAGCCATTTTAGAGAAAAAAGGCAAGAATAAAAATGTTTTATTTTGACCCTATTAACACGTTTGTGTACTTTAATTTCAAAATCTTTACTATTTTAACAAAAAAATCGAGATTTCCACTGATTTTGAATTATGTTTTGAGGTTAGGGCAAAATCCTGACGTGATCTAGCATTTGTGTTGACTCCATCGTTCTCAGCCCACTAAACACGAAACGTAAATGAAACGTTGCAAATGAGATGTTTTACTAAACATTTGAAACATTAACTAGAAACGTTTCTGTTTCATTACAGAAATGTAGCACTTGAAACTTATTTAGTGAAATATAGCCGAAACGTTACAATTGAAGAGTTTGAAACATTACTCGAAACATTACCTTTCGATCTCGGAAACATAACAGACGAACAACCCTTTGCTATTTTTGCTTATCTTATGGAACAATCGGCATTAGTTAAATTTTGCTCTCAATCCCCAATCCTTCTCAAGCGTTAGTTCATTTGCCTTTGTTTATATAAAGACATAATTAGAAAATAAAAATGTGGTAGCATATTTATAACACAAGTCTAGAAAAAATGTATGTTTGTGACTTGCGTAGACTGCGCGTAACAGCCTGAGTTTATTTGTTTCCCGTGTGTTGTTTCAAGTTTCAATTCGCATTATGTTAGGTTAGGTTTGCGGTTTGTCAGTTTGCTTGGTTTCGTTGTTATTCATCTTTACTTTGACGCTATTTTATGTGATAATTTGTAGTGTGTGCAGTTGTGGTTATTGTAAGGTGCATATAAAATAATGAATATTGATGCAAAATGTTTAAAACGATATGTGT